TTTTTTTTTTGGTTTTTCTCCGGTACCGGGAACCGAACTCACGACCTTGTGCTTGCCAGGCAGGCGCTTTGCCGCTGAGCTAAATCCCCAGCCCCTGAATCCATTCTTTATATGCACACGTAAATATATAAAGTACAGCCATACTCGGTACAAATGAGCAGCCCACTCAGCTGCGAGCTGGCTTCCAAAGGATGGAGCCAGCAGCCATCTTCCCTACGCCTTTCACCTTCTTATTCCAGGTCACTTCAACCTCTACAGAGAGGCTGGTGGGGAATGGGAGAATAACAAGAGGATTCAGAACCAGTAGTATTCCTTCGCAGTTTTCACAAATACTGAGAACTCCAAAGTATGGCATCACATTGCCTTCTCTCAGGGAGTCACTGCACAGTATTGATATCCTTTTCTCAATTCACATGGGTGTGGATTATATGTATTTTATACATTTGTCTCAGTGTGGTCAAAGCACATTTAAAATGCCCCATGTACAAACCATAGCTAAAGAAGAGTGGAAAGTAGAAAAATGATAAGTTTCCTGCTTCCTTTATCTCCCACATCCTTGAGATATATGATTAGGTCCACCCCAGCACCTCATACAGTGCTCTGACCCTCATAGGTACTCAATAAATCAAGAAATCAAAGCTACTGCCTGAAATATCCAGAAATATAGTGGTCTATACTTAGAGAAGTCTGGAAAAAAGATTTCTTGTAGAAAAATCACAGATCACTGTAACTCTTTCAATCAGTAAACATCCATTGAATGTACAGAATGTGCAAATAACCACAGTGAGTACTAGTGATTCTTCTATCAAAACAAGATGGTAATGATAATCTCAAACTTTACTGAGACCAATATGAGTAGACAGCTGGATAGAGATGCATAGATGATAGATAGATGATAGATGATACATAGATAGATAGATAGATAGATTCTGTAGATAGACAGCTGAATGATATCCTCTAAGAGCAAAGTCTTCTTTTGCTGTCAGCCTCCTAAACCCTCCCCTTATCCTAAAAATATGGTGTAGGAGATATTATCGCTGCTTTACAGGAGCTAATTAAGGCACAATAATAAAGATGATTTGCCCACGTTCATGCAATTAGTAGAGTCTAGATTGACCTTCAAAACATCTAACTCTAAAACATAAGCTGTTAGCACCATGTTATGCTGTCCACAAATACCACATCGGGCATCACTGTGCCCTGTGGTTTATCCTAGAAGTCCACAACCTCCCACTTCTTGGTTAGGTCTATTTGACTCCTTTTTTACTTCGAGGCTTTCCAGCACTTTCTCCCACATGCCTCACAGTAAAGAACTTGTCCTATGTCTTTTGCACCTGAAGAAAGCTTTTATTTGCTATCATTTTGTTCTTCCACGAATTACTGTGTCCAAGCATTCATTATGTATGGTGCAGAAGGCACCAAAAATAATTTGGTTTTATTGAGGAATTTACAGTTTAGCAGGGATACAAAAAAAAATCATGGATAACCATAGTGAAATCAGGGCTTCCTGACGTGGTAGGACGACCTGGTGCCACCCACACTGACAAGTATAGAGACTCAGAAATTAATAGCACAAACTGTGGGCTGAGTGTTACTCCCCTTCCAATGTCCCACAGTTTTCTTAAGTCAAGAAGCCTTAGCTTGCTGCTATTCCATCTTTAACACCTCTTCAACCCTTGTTAATCTCCCTCTCTGCAGAGAAAAGAAAAAGGCATCAGACCCAGAGCTCTGGGCAAGCTAGCCTCCCGCTTCTAAATTGAACATTATTGTGTTTTTAATACATTGTTTGATAATAATTTTTCAAATTTGGCAAGGGATGTTTTCTGTCTACAGAAGTTGTCTTGGTCATTTTCCTTGTTGCTAGGACAAAATACCTGACACAGGTTTAAGGAGGAGAGGTTTATTTGGGCTCACATGTCAGAAGTTTCAGTCCAAATGGGCTGGTTCCAACTTTGAAATGGCATGGAGGAAGATCCTGCCGCAGAGGAAAGCTGCATGTGCCGTGGAAGCCAAGAGGCTGAGGGTGAAGGGAGGAGCCAGGGAGGCAGATATGCTCTTCCAGGCCAAGGCCCTGGGGACCTGCCTCAGCCAGGTCCCACCTGCCAACATCAAGCCAGCTGTAGCGCCCCCATAATAACGCAGTCATCTTCCACAGGCCCCGCCTCTGAACACAAGTCTTTGGAAGCACATCCAGATGTAAACCACTACAGAAGTATCAAATTTTTTAAATACTTTACTTAAATTTTAAAGATTCTTCTCCTTATATAAAAAACAGTATGTTAGTAATGGTACAGATGGTGAGTGGATCTGGCAAAAATGCCTGTAAAGACGGGACAGTTTAGAGCACAGGGAAATACGTGCATCACCAGAGCTTTATGTAATGCTGGGGA